CCATCCACTACAGAGCACATTACAGAATATCCATTAGAGCGTCTTAAGCCCGAAGAGACAATTACGAATTCGACTATCAACTTCTGTGCACAAAATTCCCTATATCAGTTATACTGATGCACGTGTCAATGCTCGAAGAGGGTGTTCATACGAGACAGTCCGTCGTCTGCACAAACCGCAACAACTTCATGCCGTTATTGCTGAAGTCACTAGGGACGCTTGTGCCAATCATGAGTTTCTACTCTTCTAGTGTCTGCCCTGTCATGAGAATTGAAACGGTTCATTAGAAGGGTTGATTTCGTGGCTAACACACACAATTTCGTACCTAGTACGCTCTACTTCCACCAGAAAGGACACATTCTCCGCTCAAACTGGGCATACGGACCTGTAACAAGTTCAAAGCTTTACCCTGCTGTAACTCCAATCAGAGGATTGCTATCCTTCAGCGATTATGCCTCAAGGTTTCTACCAGAACACCAACATAGGCCTGAGCACGGGTCGTGAAGTGAGTAGAACCGCTTTCACCCGCAGATGTTCAGAATTTCTAAGCCCTGATACTTTGCCAGTAAGCTTGAATCCAAGTATGTCCAGTCGGTAAGTGACTAGCTCATCGATTAGCTCCTACTCTTTCCCTCTGAGTGAGATCTTCCAATTCTGATTTCCTACTTTGAGATTCCACTGTTGGAATCGTTTTTCGTGGAACCTCATCTGACTTGGTGTAATGGTATTAAGCTATCTGTCTAATCAATTCAGAACGGGTGGCGGCTCCGTTGCTGACTGCTATCTCAATTGCCATTTTGTAGATCATTGGCAACGGTCGCTGTGCTAACTACCCCAGTTGCCAGAAGGCGAGTAGCAGGCTCTGATCACCAGACTTTTCGCAGACTGCCTCGGTTCCTTAACAGTCTCCGCGGAGCTTGGTAACGCGGGCGATGACTAAAAAGCTATATCTTCCGATAACAGCAATATCAGGAAGGACAGATATCTAATTTTACGGCTGGTGTAATACTGAAAAAGTCATTAATTTTCACTATATAAGATCGCAACAGAGCCATGAAATGCATATATACAGTCAACATGTAGCTAAAAGGTCAGTTGGACAGTTCTGCGAGCAGGCAGTGTGCTAAGGGACCGTGACGCAGAGCTGCGTTGGGCCAAAGCCTCAAGTGCAAAAGGTGACTGTTCCAGGAAAATAAATTTAGGCCAAAGCAACAGGCATCTGTGAGTCCTGCAATGTGACAAAATTTTCATCTAGCAGCTAGTATCGCCACTCCCCGCAGCAAACGGAAATCATACTTCATCAAAGCAAGGAAAAAATTCAACATCATACCAAAATACGTTACTCTGTCGTTTCCGCTCACAAAACTGGATTAGAAGAAAGGAGGATAGGGTGCTATGGGCAAGTCTCCCACAAAACTTAGCCCACTATTTCCTTATGGCATTTGAACCATCAAAATCCGTTACAAAGGATTGGCCGTCGACCGAGTAAACAAGGGAAAGCGAGGTTGTGTGAACTGAATCAGACTGCGAAATGTCGAAGATCGAAATCTGCGTCACGCCTCCCAGTAGCCAAGGGTACAGCAGCACGGCAACAACTGCTGGCAAGCTACGCGAAGTTGATGAAGATGCTAGTAAGCAACGGAGCGACAATTTAGTGTGAACGGAGGAAGCAGACCGTGCGATGTCATAATAGCATATTCCACGGGAGCGATACCGACAATGGGAGTTCACAGTCAGAAATTAGAACATATTCTCACTCAGAAGGAAAAACTGGGCATTGTCAGACTCATCAACGCCAGGGATCTGAAATTCTGAACGTCCGTAGGTGAAAGTTTTTCTAATAAGATGTCGATCACAGCTTAGGCAAATGTTGTTTTGATAGAATCAAATACGGCTGTAAGAGTCACTTAATGAAAGCATGCCAGCAGTAGAGTGGCAATCCTCTGACTTCAGTAGGGAGAGGCGAAAGCATCTGCTTTGTTAAAAGTCAGTGCGCCAAATTTTGAGGGAGAGCATGCATCTTTCATGGATGAAGCAGATGCTCTAAAGGTGTCCGCTATCCGAAGAAGATTTCATCATTCTGATGGGCGAGTTCAGTACACATGAAGAACCAGGAAAGGCGTGAGTGGAAAGAATGGTTCTAGCGATCTTAAGAATAACGGCAAAAGCAATTGCATATGCATTTCATTACCTCAAGTACGATGCTTTTATGTTATTGTTAACAATGTACCGCACAGACAAACACCGAACAAATATGATTGACTGCAAGAACTAACACACGACTACATGCTCAAATGCTCGTAAAAATATGTTTAAGCTTTAACCGAAGTAATCAGTGGCAGAAACGTGCTCTCATGTTAATTCCTAGAAATGAATTCGAATTGAGTATATACGAATATGAATTCCTAACAAGAAAGCTATTGCAGCAAAATTCAATGATACTGAAATCAATACTAATGATATTAGACACAGCTGATGTTGCATGTTTATGAATAACGGACCAAACTGGAATTATCGCCTGCCAACGGCAATAAAAGACTCGATTATAAGAAGTTGAATATGCAAAAAACGAAAACAGTACAATCTGAAACATACCCGAGTATGTTTTTCCCAGTCACCCACAACTAAGCCCACTGGAGAAGGTGCAGGTGCAACGGAACTGACGCTGGACCCTGGGTACTCTTCGTCGGTGCCTGATTCGTCATCCACTGAGATGCATTCCATATTTCCTAAACAATTTAGAAATGACGAAGTTCGAAAGGTTTAAAATAATAAGAATTCACCAGTTTCAAGTTAAAACGCTGCATTAATTATTTCGCAAGAATAAATAACTGAATGGAGTCTTTACAGGTAATAGACATATTTTCCAATTTCATGGCTTGCAGCAGAGACAAGGAAACATTTTTAATTTAACAGAGGTTCGAAGTTTCGATCGAAATGGCTCTAGTAATTATCAAGAAATTTTTTTCATATCCTGACATCAAATCGATCATGAGTCCGAGATTCTGAAGATAATAAGCTTGTGACTCATCAAAAACGCGCAACAAAAATGTACATATTTATATGAACTGGATTTCAGTTTATTCTTTAGAAAAAATTACGATTAGTAAAAATGTATTCCAGCCCATACAAATACAGTAAATTGGAATGTACATATTAGTTTATGTAACATAGATGAGTATAGGTTTAGATTTAGTTATAGCAAGCACAAAACGTGAAAATTTGAAGGCGGCTATAAAATGTAAACTGATCTGGATACAGCCATTAATTGTACATAACCATTAATTAGATATGTGAAAAATGAAGTAGACCTGTATGCATAGTCATGTTTCACACATTAAAATCGTATCTAAAAACATTAACTCGTTGCTGCGCGCTTTTGACGAGATATTATAAATTTGTTAAGCAGTGTCACTCATAAGGATTTCTGCAAATTCGAAGACTAAAATTCATTTTAAATGAAGGAAAGCAAATAAGAGCTAAATTAGAATTCTAATTCAAATTTAAGTTTCGGTGTTTATGAAGAAAGAATCACATAAATATGATTATCAATCAAGCAAACATAAAAATACATTATATTTTAAGGAACCAAGTTCACTGCATTTATGAATTCAGTCAAGAATTCAACCACTATTGGCTATCACACGGTTCTGAGTTACGGGTGGCTATTTAACGCGCCTAAAACGAAACCATTAGAGTCAATAAGTCAGATCATTTTCTGACCAACTCAGGTCATAGGACGAATGTTTCTCTGAATCATCCACAAAAATCAACAATTTCAATTATGTTTAACACCATGAACTTGCCACGCCTTCTCAGAGAGCCAAATGCTAACACCGAATAAATGGTAATCTGTCACGGTTCGATATAATCTTTTCGAAGTTAGCACAATTATTTTTCGCTCCTTCTCTTTAAGCCTGATGAATCGAAAACGACAAGCTTTTGCATTTGCTGTACGATCACAAAACAGAAACATTTATATCAATCAGACAGAACAGAATAAAGATGTCTCGATTTTTAAGAAATCAGCGAGTTTTAACCATCCTCACTGAACTACCTTAAACAACCAGAATAAATTCTCTAAAGTATTGCATTGTCTTAAAACTGAAATTAGGCTTTAGAGAAGTCACTCGTTATTTAAACTACTTCATTGCTGATAATTCAAAACGAAAAAGATTTTCAACCTCAGGACCTACGAGGTTGTTTCTAAGAAGACAACTATCTGCTTAGCATCCAGCGGGAATGCTTCAGAACATACATACAATTATTACTTAGACAATTAGATTTTATTCTTGTCATTTAATTTAAATTTTAAAACTGAATAGTGAACTACGGGTAAAGACATAAGCCACATGTAAAATTAGTTGCGTGTTATGCGTGCAATCACCTTGAGCTGCTAGTATAAGCAGAATGTGCCTGATTTTTGAAGTACGACGTGTTCGCCGCTTTACAACACCTTTGCTATAAGACAGCGGCTACTGAATCATAGAAAGAAATTTTTCTGTCTGAAAGCCGATTTGCCCCATGTTGCACGCTGGCTTGCGGTTGACGTTTGCTGCGTTTTGGTTCCAATACGAGAATACAGCGCGCAGACGTAAATGGCTAGTGTTCATCCATGTTGTCAAACAGAACTAACTTCCTTTTCTTAATCTTAAAGCCTACTGAGGTCACCAATGCCTGGAATACAACGAAGTCATTGCTAACGTGGTCCTACTAGTTAACCCTCATTATATATTGAAGTCAACACTGCTATGAAATTGTGTTGTTTACCGTTGTCAGCAAAATATCACATAAATTCGATATTTGTTAGAAGTAACTTTACAAACCTGCGGAAGCTTTTACGAGATTAACGAGGTACATGATAACAGTTGCAAAAAAAGTAAAGCAGCGTCACTACGATTCTGTCACCATGTACAAATCACGGTGTTTATATACGGCAACTATTAAATAAATATTCGGGAATAACGCGAACAGAATTGAAAATAAACTGTTTGTTTCACTTAACAGTTTACGTATTTACCTTCTTTCAAAGGAATAATGTCGTTGAAACTCTTAGTGTATTGAAAGCCAGTGTCGAATATCTTCACGATGACTTTGGCTTCATCCAAGTACAGACACGTAACAGTTCCTAGTTTCCAGAGTTCGTCATCTTCTTTGACGAGACAACGTGTCCCCGGGGAGACATTTCTACAACGGAAATCGGTTTACTCCGCATTCAAATAAATCAAAAGAAAACGTACTCAAAATCAGGCTTCTCGTAGGCCAACAGGTCAGAAAATTTCAACAACTCGCCGTGGGAAAACCTTCAATCCGAAACATCAAATGCGCAATCTAACTGAAATAAATACCTGCATTTCTGCTCAAAATTACAGGAACCATCGAGAAAAAATTTGCACGGTTGCATAGATTTGCAAAAAGGATAGCTGTATAAAACTTTCACCTAAATTAAAGATGAATGAAATTACGAACTGTTTTCGAAAATCTGAAATAAAATCTGTATTCCTAGATGAATTAATGAAAGCCATAGCTAAAATCATCAGCAAAAATTATGAGAATAACAATTATAGCGTGCAGTTCCGGCCTGGCCATACCAGAATAAACGAAACACGCTGAGATTCTGCTCAATGGATGTAGACTCTGGAGATCATTCGCACCTACCCAACTCAGAGCTGAACAAAAACTAGCACCAGGTGTAAACAATAAATGAATAAATTCTGATGCGTACACTATACAGAAACTATTGCATAAACATCGTTATATATTCGTAAGTCCGAGAACGCTGAAGAACGCATAGCTCCTCTAAGATTTTCTAAGATCAGATTTTACAGCGTATTGCACCGCTCCATTGTTCGTAGTGCTCTAAGGGAGGGGATAATTAAGCGGGTTGCAGCTCTACGGCATTTGAGTACCTGTAGTGCCAGGTGCATCTCACGTTCGTAATCAGCACGAGTATTAGCGATAAAAAATGATGCGAGAGGCATCTGGCATAGTAGGTGCTCAAACGAAGCTGTGGCATGCTTAATGCCTCTCCTCCCTGGATGCAACTATAAGCAGTACGCCGTGAAATATAGTCTTGGAGGAATTACGCGTTCATAGAAACTGTTATTACGAAAGTTCAATTGATCCCGCAGCGTCAAACTGTTCATCAACTGTGCTCAGTGCAATCAATCTAGAAATGGGTAGCAAACCGAATATATTTCAATAATGGAAAATCACGGTCTTATGGTGAGGTAATGCAAGTTATGTCATGTTCAGAAAGTTATGAAGATGTTGCGTTCTGTGTATGTGTGTGTGTATGTGTGTGTGCCTAACCTAACCTAAGTAACGGCTTCACTACTATTCGAAACAGACGATAGTCAACTAAATTTGCACAAGGTGCGCCCTCTATGGATACAATCAAGAAAAGAAGTCAAAAAACTAGCGTTTTTATGGTGTATGGGTGAAATACTTGCGGTAAAAATGTCCCAACGATCGTAAGAATAGCTTGACGCTACGAGATTCACTGCATTTGCTAAAAAATTGTTTTTTAAACGCGGCACGATGACTCACTGGGTCAGGTTAATCCTAATCGGCCAGTCGTCTTCAGTTGATGTGGTGGCTAACGATTATTATTTATAAGCGGTGACACTTTTCAGAGCTGAGTCAGACAGAGTTCGTGCGAATATGTTTACGTACCCAAAGATCTTCTAACGACTCTCCTGTAGTGTAATCAGCTTCCATAATAACTGCTCTGTGATACCGGATTGGAAGACGAATGGCAGCACCATTGTAAGGCGCAAAACAAGGAAGTCCAATTAAGCTGTCTACTGTCGGCTTTGACTCTGCATTAGAGCATGTTGCATCATTGCTATGTTCATCCTTGACC